AGAGATAACTTCGCAATATCGACACAAGCCTTTGAATGTTGCGATATGAAGTTTAAGAATTGCACAGCGAGACGTAAATGCTCCCCAAGCATAGGCATGCCTAATTAGCGCTCTCTCTAGTTTCTCAAAGTTCAATAAGTCCTATAATTTGGCTTCTCCTTCCCTTCCCCCTTCACTTCTCCCATTGAAATCATTTCTTCCACGTCCCATGATAGAACGGTTACACCAGATTAATCCTTCTATAAACTAAAAAGAATGATGTCCCAGCCTTCCATACCTGTATGAAAATTCACTGACAACATTCCCGGCTGCGTATGCCCTGTCACTGATGTTTGCGTTCCTCGCACTGACTGTGTCCCTATCCAGAGATATTTCTCAGATGTTAGTCCCAGTGGAACTGCCCTCTATAAAAAGCTTCTATTTATGCTAATGAGTGCAAGCACAACTCTAGCACTTCTCAACAAAAAAAAAGTGATTGACATTTAGAGAAAAGACAAAAGTGAATGAAAGTTTTAGTAATTGAAATGATTCACCAACCTCAAAAATTGTTCTTGCTTGAGCAGCAGTCGCGTAGAGTAGCACAATCTTCGCTTGGCTTTTCCTTAGTTCAAGAAGCTGCGCGTCCACATCCGTCAAATTCGATGTATCCAGTTGACTATGAAACATGATCTCGAATCTGAATCAAAAGCTTAAATGGGATTTGGCGTTGGTAACCCAAATTTTCTCCATCAACCCTTTATCTATATATTTTTTCCATATCACGAGATATTCATCATCCACTTCTCACACTTTTTATTCTTTTCTCAGAACTTTTTTAATGTCTTCACACATACCGATAATCAAATTAGTGAGATTAATTTGGTAAAAACAAACCCAATGTGATCGAAAAATTGTTCGGATTGTAATTGAATTCAATGCATATTTTATAGCCTCCATTTTTTTCTATGATTTTATAAGAAATCAAATATCTCCTTTTGATGAAGAAATAGGATTTGAAATTTCTAAAAAAATTTCTGAAGCTCATAATCATTTCAATTCGCCTACGACATCTGGAT